CTATAAAACTTGAATTGAGATTAAATTTCAAAATAACCAGTTGAATTATGAGGCAGAAGACGGAGAATGTTTTTAATAATCTGTGTATGTACTGCCTGCTACAGAAAGACGAACCCATGCCTAGTCTGCATAGAAACAGAGGGACAAACAGATGGATATGGTTAAATCGATTCGACTGTGTCGTGAATATCTTCTGCAGTGCGTTACACACTTAATGACAATACTCAACTACCCTCTCGAAAGGGTATATTAATTGCGACGCGGCGCTGCTGCTGCTGCTGTCTCAGCTGCCGACAGTCAGTCGAACCCCAGCGGGCAGATTGTGCGCAGCCTGTAAGCCAAAGCCAAGGTATAGAACAAATAGTTATCCGAAACACAATGTCAACGCATGAACAGGGCTTACCGGTGGGCGCAGTGTCGCGTTCGCATCAGTATCGCAAGGTCATGAAGCCGCTGCTCGAGCGCAAGCGGCGAGCGCGTATCAACAGATACCTGGACGAACTGAAGCAGCTCATAGTGGAGGTTGTGCAATTGGTAAGCAGTCGCTGTTGCTCAGCAAAGCACATATAACACCTATTTTCATAATAACTAGGATGAGGAGACGCTGTCCAAGCTGGAAAAGGCTGACATACTGGAGCTGACTGTGCATCATCTACACAGACAGCTCAAGGCCGCTATCATCCCCAGGCAGAGTGAGGGGCCTATCCACTTGGAGACATGGCACAGCTTTCAGCACTTTGCATTTGGATCTCAACAGTGCATTCTAGAGGTGGTACGATTTTTACATCCTCATGACATGCAGCTCAATAGCAAGTTCCTAAGGGCTATGCAGCAGCTGATGCCAGCTAGACCAGAAAGTTTTTGGCGACCCTGGTAGATGGATACTGGAAGAGATGGAATATGTTCAACATAAGTTGGTATTTACAAATATTTAAATATTATACAAATATATTAATGTTAAGTTTTAGGTAAAAATGGTAAACAGTGTCTAGCTGTAGTTAAGTTCTTATTTTGAAGTTTTTGAAGTGGAAACTTGTACAATTCCCAGCTCATCAGGGCAAATCAAGCTGTTTTCTCTGCCTGTCTCTTTATCACTCTATTAAAACTTTTAACTATTAAGTTATTTTGGTCTAGGTATATATTCCATAGTGCTTGGGTTAGCAAATGTTTGACTACTATAATATTGGAATATCATATTTCTTTTCTGAAATCAAAGGAAAAAGTCATTAAAGATTTACTCTCCCATTTATATGAACCTGTAATACTAATGTGGAATAAATATTGTGCGACTTTATTTACCGAATTTAAAAATTGGTGCTAAGAATAAATTACATACAATAAATTAAGTATCAGAGCAATCAAATGAAGTCAAGTTGACAGCTCGAAGAACGTTTGTTGTGTATTAAATATTTATGGCCAACTAAGTAGTGCGAAATGTTTTAAATAAACCATTATATTGCTTCTTTATAATAATTTCAAAAAACGTTTATTTTTCTTTCTTTTGTGTTGCGTGTTTTCTTAGGTTCATTTTGTGTGCATGTTTTTCCTTTAGCCAAAATCAGAGCAAATAATTTTTGCATTTTTATTGTAAATTTAACAGCGCGTTGGGCTTTAATTAAATATTAAAAAACATTTGCTTGATTCACATCAATGCTAACAAAAATATTGCTTACGTTTGAATTAATCGCACAATAAAAATAATTGCCTTTTGTTGACGATTATTTAATTATATAAAAAAAAAATCTTCTCTTTGAATTATCATAAGTATTAGAGTATATATGTAATATAATAATAGATTATCGGATAAGAACTGTGTATATATATTTTTTTTGGGTATTGTTTCTCTTTTAGTTGTTGTTGTTATTCCTCTTTAACTTAGCTGCTACAATTTTCTATGTACAATTGTTTCAATATTCCTCAAGTCAAGGGAAATAAGCGCCAAAAAATTGATTGTTGCTGCAGTTTCTCTTTTTCCCACATTTCTTTAATGAATCGACAGAATTAAGTTTGATTAATATCATCATAATTTTTGACATATTTTAGTGTGGATTTCGTCATGTAAGCAGCTTATATGCTAGCTAATAATATAGTATATAGCCATATAAATAATCGTATAATATAAATATGTGTTTATTTTTTTTGTTGCATTTGCTGATGAATTTCGGTGAGGATAAAAAGACATGCAAATATTTTGTGCATTATGCAAGTTTAACTAACTTTGCCAACTTAAGACTTTAGGCTGCTTTTGCATATTACTTTAAATAGTTTCGAAATGAAACTGCGCATTACATTCATAGAAAAGTATTAGCTAAGATACAGATTACGTAAATACACAATTTTCGCCTTTAAGATACATTATAATATTTGTGCCGGGCAATTAACAGAGCGACAAAGAAACAATATTATGAACAAGTAGCAAGCTGTCATTACCGGAAATCTCAGCGTTAATTTATTTACTAAATCAATAGTTTATTGCAGCAATTTTCAGAAATTTCGTATAATGTATATTTAAGTATTAGTTTAGAACAGAAGTCTTGAGTAATTTTTATATTTTCACAATTTGTTTGTTTTTTATTTTTTTTATTTTTATTTTTTTGCCATATGAGGAAAACACAAGTTTATTTTTGAATGCCATTGCACTTGATTTGGTTTTAAGCTCTAATCAATCTACGAGTATTTGCACAATTAAACTCCTTGCTTCATGCTTATAAAAACCAGATCTGTTTTTCTAATCATTTTTATATGTCTGAAGTTTTATTTTTTGATTTTTACATTGATTGCTTGAAGTCCTGGAAACGTTACCGATTTCATTAAGATTTGCTGTACGTAGTTGTATTTGTTGAGCGTAAAAATTATATTGAAAAAAAGAACATACTGAAATACAATAAACATTCAATATGAGTAACTAGTTAACTAAATGAAATCGATTCATATTTTATAGCATCAATTTAAATGCCAATAAATGTCAATTAAATTTCGAAATCTTTTTAAAAACTTTTAGTATTTTCTTTACTATTTACCATATTGAACGATCACTGTATATTCAAATTCTACAAAATTCAACGCAAGCTATTTAGAAAACACGTTTAATCAATTTGAAAACAAATGATATATGGCTAGAAGTATATAAAAAAATATATATTTAGCTCTGAACGGTAAAAGAGATAACACCAAGAAAAAGAGAAAGAGAAAGAGAAACACAAGGCAATATTTACGAATAGAGAAGAGTATTACGTGGCTGTAGGTATGATAGAGTATAGGTAAAGCATATTGCAATAGAGAATGTACAATCGAGGTTTTCTTTTTGTTTATAGATGTGGAGTTTGGTTATAACATTTTGTTTAACTTATATTCATGTGACTTTGAACTTAGGTTTTATTGATATTTTTAAATGTTTGCTACTTTGAACTTATTGAAGTCAAAGTTGTTCATTGTTTAAAGTGTTGTTAAAGTTTTTTTTATTTTTTTTTATTTTTTTTTTTATTATATTTTTTTGTTTTGTTTTTTGTTTTGTTTTAATAAAGCTGAACCACATATAAAATAGAAATTATTTTAGTATGGTGATTAGATTGTTGTAGAGAAGAAAATATACGAAAGCAGAAAATTAACAGAAGAGTATAAAGTGTTATGCATAGTGTATAAAGTGTATAGAAGGTATAGAGTGTGTAGAGTGTGTTTGTTTACCAGAGAGTTTCCAGAGAGTTTTGCACGGAGATGATTGTAAAATGCGATAGTTCCCAAGGCATTTCAAATGTATATACTTGTATAAATATTGTATGTAAATATATCGTTTTAATTTCCATTGAATATGTTTTCAGAAAGTTTGCAAGCTCTAAGTAGTTTTCGTAAAGAATGCCAAAATAAATGTTTTCGAAAAATTTGATATTGTTTAATAAGGCATGCAGAAATACGGTATAGTTATGGGTGGTAATATTCAATAATCAAAAAAAAAAGAAACACATATTTCAATAGCTTTTATTTAAACTGCAAACTGTACTTGAAGTATCCATGAGCAGACCATGTATGTATGTTATGTGTATAAACGGTTAACATATAAAGATGCGAATTTAGCTTAAAGCCAATTTTAAATATCTTCCAATAATACATTAAATACTCGTACGCCACGAAATGAAAATAAAGAATAAAAATGTTAGAAAATTTGCCTACGCTAATTTAGTTAAAAGTATTTCGATTTTCAAATAACATTATCGGAGCAATGTTTTTTAGCGCAATGTCTATAGTTTGGAACCAAATTGATTGTCTGCGCATTCGTTTGCTGCAGTGCAATGAAAATTAAGCCTAGCAACTAAAACACATCTATTTAAACATATCTATAAATTTTAAAAGAAAACAAAATAACACGCACATACACAGTCACGCCGAAGGAACACGCTCGTGGACATTAGTCCAGCTGCTAGGATTTTAATAGCTGAAAGAGGGGTTTCGAATAAGTTATAGAGCCATGCCCCATGCAATAAGCTTTCGTGTTCGTGTCAATAGGTTAAACCAATTGTTCAGTGGGGGGTTGCCCCTTTTTGTGCTCGATGACTTTTGAGTTGCGAGTTGTTCAATTTGATAACACAAAACGTTTCCTGACATTGAGTTTAGAGAGCTATGTATGTATATATTGTATATATAAATCGTATATAATTAGTCCAATAAGCAAGTTTTCCATTAATAAACTTCGCATATCAACACGTTCGATTATCAACAGTTGTAACTGTTGCAACTGGCTCAGCAAAAGGCTAAACAATCGAGATGGGAAAGCATCTATTAGCATAGTATTTAGGGTTTGCCTTGGGGCACATACAAGTACGAGTAAGTGTTTGTATGTATTTGTATATATATATATTTTTTTTTTTTTAAAAAAGCATTAGCATTATATTTAGGCATTTACTATGTGTATTAATATTTTGCCCTTGGCGCATTTTGCCTACAATATCTGATTTATATGTATATTAGCATGTATGTAATTAATTTATGAAAAAAAAATTCAACTATAAATTTTATTTATTTAATTTGTTTTCTGTTGGCTTTAAAATTGATTTCTTTCCTTTGCAAGCATTTCAATAAAAATGCTCTCACAATAGAACAAATGCCTAATGTAATTTATACATATGTATATGCATATATATACATATAAATATATTCATATATTTATACATATAAATGAATATATATGGTATGTAGTGCATACTTATATATATACATACATATATGCACATACTTGTATAAATAAGTAAATTTAAAAAAAGCGACGCTATTATTTAAATTGGTGTTTTTTGACGAATTTTGCATAACATTCCTCTGTGGGCTGCATTGTTAATTGTTTTTATAATTTTTATCGTTGTAGTATATGTATATGTATTAAATATCTGCATTATTTGGAATTTCACTTAAACAAATTCAAGTTTCAGTTTTTGTTTTCAATTTGCGTTCGATATTTTAAGCCGCGGCTTTGGGGCTAACAAGCTGCCACTAGGCAAATGACATATAATACATATGTGTGTCTGTGTGTGTGTCCGTGTGTACGTCTGCTTGTGTATGTGTGTGTGTGTATGTGTGGATGTGTTTGTATATGTATAAACTTCTTGCAAAGTTACTTAACCATTATATCAAACCATATTTATTTATTGTGCACGAATTCGTTGTCTTTGCTTCATGCTTCCAACTCTGTGACAATCTCGAATTTAAGCGCAATTACAATTCTTGCGGTTAATCACCACCTAAACTTAACGCCTGCACTATACGTGGATCAGCTTTACTACCCTCACGAAACTCTTCTAAGGTGAGGCGGTCATCATGATTCTTATCCATTTGATCGAAGATCTTATCGACACGCTTCTGCGGTGTATTCTCATCCTCCGTTTGCGGCTGTTGGCCCTGCTCGCGAATGGCATGATATGTTATTAGTATATTTTACTATCAATAATATATATAAATGTTATTAGTATATATTAAACATAATTCAATGAAATATGTATATATATACAACATTCATTACATTCTCAAAAGAGAGTCACACCTCTTACTTATTCTTACGTGAAATTGTGATACTCTCTGGAGTGATAAGACTTACCACCATCTGATAAATGGCATCAACAATATTGTACATTTCCTCTCGAGTTATGTAGCCATCATTGTCCACATCATAAAGACGAAAGGCCCCTGTATAGAAGGTAACATATACATTATTTTTGATGGCACAAGATTTGTATAGCTTACAGTGTAACTTCTCATCGAGGTTTCCACGTGATGTTATGGATAAAGCCCGAATAAATTCCTCAAACTCAATGGCGCCGTCCTGTCGATATTTAAGCCATTGGCCAATAGGGGAATTAATCAATTGCTTATATTTTCATATACTCACATTGTTCTCGTCGAATACTCGAAATACCAAGGAGGCAAATTTACTGGGATCTCCGTCCGGGAAAAATTGCTTATAAATTTTGATGAATCCCTGGTTGCAACGTTTGTTTAAAAATTGATTATAAATATAAAAAAAAAAAAAAACATATAGCAGGAAAAGTCTTTGTTTATAAACATAGAAACTGTTTCCAATTATTATTTACTCTTTTTCGTTTATTTACAATGCATTTTATTAACTTCTTTAAGTTTAAACCAAGGCTGCAAACCTAACAAAAATGTTCTCTGGTTTGGTTCACGGCTCGACATGCTTAAAAAAGATTCCACTCGGCTTGCAGCCAAGATTTAAACACAATAAAATATATATGAAATTGGCAAAGAAGCATTAAGATTAAAACGCATACATGAAATTGAAAGGTTAGATCTTTAAGATGATTGTTTCTGGTGAAAGAGGAATTCTTAATTTTTTTATGAAATGTAAAATTAGTGATAAAATGGCTTATCATCAAAGTACATACAATACACTTCTATTATTAACAAGATTACTTCAGATGTAGGCCGAATCTGATTAGAAAATGGTAATCTACCTTGAATGTGGGCTCCACAAACCGACCAGACAACTTTAACAGTAGGTTCCACCCGCAAGTTTACAATTTAAACATTGCATGGCCACACACACAGAGCTCATTAAATTATGAAATTCAGCCCTCAGTTTTCAAATGAACAAAATAAAACAATTTTTCGATGCAACATCAAAATAGCAAAAGTATTGAATTTATTCTGATGAATTTGCGAGCAAATAATTAAAAAATGTCTGTGAATACGGCGCCCTAATGAGACACAGTGCGTAATCAAATATTTTGTGAGCTACTAGTATATCCATAGATTTTTTGTAGCCATAATTATAGTTGCTGGCAGTACTTATTAAGCCATCCATGAGCGGAATAATTAGACCCGCGAATATCCCAGAGAGAACGGTCCTCAAATTTTCCATTGGGGAAAATGCGAAAAAAATATGATATATGGACGACGTAAACAAAGCCAAAGCCATAGTCAAAAAAAAAAAAAAAAATTATGGAGAGTGCTTGAAAAAACGGCACCCCACATTTGGCATATCAGTAAAAATTCGGCAAGTTTAAGTGGCAACAAACTGGCTGAAAACAAAGCCACAAAACTGCGGCACCAATAATGGCGGTGGCAATGAGTGGGAAGGCCAAACAAACATTAAACCAAAACATAAAATTTCGAGTACAATCATAAAAAAAATATAGTATGTAAATAAAAAAAGCCAAGTAGTTTGCAGCTTGGTTTTTGTTTTTGGTTTTGTTTTTCAGTTTTAAATAGTAATGGTTAAAAATTGTGTATTCCTCTTGTGGAGAGGCTGGTGAAAATGAAAAGGAACAGACTTTTTTAAATTTTGTTATGGTTTTATGGTTTTTGTTAATAGGATTATTTTGCGGTTAGTTGCTTGAATACTAGTAGTTAAAAATAAAATATGATGTATACATTTAGCGATGGACTCTCGTCTCGTACTTACTTGTTCAGTCAGCAGACCATTCGGGCAGTCTTTAAGAAAACCTTTGTGCCTTTTTCACGGGCGGGAATTCGGAAGTCAAAGATCAAAATTACATAGTTTGTTTTGATAGCACAGTTTACAGTTCAGCGAGATAAAGAGAACGAGTTTAAAAACAAGCCAGAGCCAAGGAACAGAAAGAGGCAGGGAGAGAAGGAGAAAAAAAGAAGAGAGAGAGAGAGTCGAATCAAGATTAACATAGAGTAGATACAAGTAGTCAAAGTTGTTGACAACACGTTAAATAAATGTAAGAAGAAAAAAAAAGTAAATTAAATTTAATGAAAACAAAAATATATCGTATTCATATTATATATACATTTGTACATATACTATGGTAAATTGATAGAACCAGCAAAGTTCTGCGAAAAAAAAACAGTTGCACATAAATGAGAAAAATTGTACACATGAATTGGTTAATGTAAATATTTAATTATTGAATGTCAACAATTTGGTGCATTATTTAATGCTAATTAGATTGTGCAGCCTCGCTTCAAGGAATGCCAACTGATATTTACATATTGCGGCGCATTCGCATTCGAATATGCCCGATTCTCATTTAATGCATTACTTACAATTAATCGTATTTGACAGCAAAACTGTTTAAAGTAATTTCGAATTTTGTAACGAATGCACACACACCTCAGAGCGACAAATGAGCAAAATGATTACATTTAATTCAAATATGGCAAATGGCATGTGTGTATACATACATATATACATACTCATAGATGGACGCTAGGAATAATAAAAACAAACAAAAAAAAAAAAAAAAAAAAAACAGTTGCTGTTTGCTGCCGAGCTGTGGCAGCAATGTGCTTACCATTGACGTATTTCCTTTTCAGTAACTGGAAAGAGATTCAAGAAAAAATTGGTTATTAAAATTACAGAATAATCCCACGCTCAATACAATCTACATAACTAGGCCACATATACAGGGCTGCAAGACGAAGACGAACCGTGTCTTGAATTCCAAATTATTTCTTACAATTTTCTCAATATCAAAATGTCGACAGAACAGAAACCGAATGGTAGGTTCAAATGAATGTTGTTTCATTCAAATTGAAAATAAATAACAAATCAAGATTTGAAGCAAGATCTTGGCTAAGGGATATAGGCAATCCGGCTCAAGCATCAAACTTTAAGGCAGGAAGCTGATTCGAGCTGTAAACCAAAATAGTGACCATTATTTTTGGCCCACAGCCCTGGTAAATACTCTCAATAATTCATAAGTCGAGCGTTGGCCGTCGTCCCCAAGTCGCAAGTACTCATTGATCCCAGTACTCATCCCATTGAGCTGCTTACCTCTTACTTTATCGCTCACATTACACAGCCATGGAGACAGGCAACGTAATGGCAACTCAAATAATTTGGCTCAGCCGCTGAGTTATGGCGGCTTAGCTCGAATTCGGACGGCTTTTGGCTATCAACTTGCCACGAAAATTGATGATGTGTCATTGACAGGCTTAGGCGCATCAGACCCCACTAAACAGCTATGAAATTGACGGGGTAGCCAGCCGGAAACATAATAGCAGCTGTGTGCAGTGTGTATGTTTGGAGTTGCATAAAGTGCATATCATTTAATAAATCATTTAATTTATTACCAGGTAGCTGTCGAGCGCAGTCACAGTCATTCACACACACATCCAACAACCGCCCACACACTATCAGCTGTGGCACATACCTCCAACTACATAGATGTGGGTTTGCGTGTATGTGTATCATCATGTAGTACTCTAAGAGGCGCGTGTGGTGCATGCACGTCTGCACTTAGAAGGCTGAGCGTACGAAACTGTGCCCTGTGCCACTTTACAAATGAAAAACACTGAAAAGCAAGACTCAACTTGGTGTAACGAGCTTGAAATACCCTATCAAATTTACAACTAAACAGGCCGCATCTCACTGCCGACATTTCTAGCAAATTATTTGATAACACTTCATATCTGCAGCCCAGGCAAATGGGTAGCAAATGAGTGGCATATCCCAACTATAAAATATAGTGTTTTACGCAGGCTTAAGACCGACCCGCTTTAACTCTGGCACCCCAATTAATTCTTCGCTCTGAGCTGTGCCTTTAACCAAACCATTTGTTCAGAAAAGCAAACAACCAAAACCATGGATGGAAGAGCTTCACGAAACAAACCCAATGGCAGGGCGCAGGTTCAAACCGCAAGCCGAACAACCTGCTATTTATTTTTTCGTTTTGCAGCCCTCTTATAAATATTTATTTGCTGAGTTAATTTTATGGGGCTGTGGATTGGGCGAGCTTGAGCATATCTTGAAAATACTTGTGTAAAATGATACGAAAATTGAGCGTTAATTGGCAGCACTTAATAGATTTCTAAATTATAAAGCAGCAATGAATGAAATGCTTGTGTGTTGGTGAGCTTGATACACTTGGCAAGCACACTTTATGAAGACGCCTCTAATTAATTGTAAAGTGAAACGGCATTGATAGAAACTTATGTATGCTTATCTAATAGCTCGGGCAGATTTGATCTAAGCTTTTGTTTAACTATGCGCCTTGTAACGTATAAGACAGCGAGCTAATTTGAAATTGTGGCATATGTGAATTGCAGTACACATTAGAAAATGAAATGGCATTGGGGTTAGTCTGCAGCACATCCTTTGCGTGCGCTGGCTCGGACGACACAACTCTGCCTAGGAGTTGGGTCGTCTTGAGGCAGTGGCCGTCATAGTCTTTGCACGCAAACCAAGTCAGCGGCAGCCATTGAGCACAAATTGAAAAGCCTCCCCAGTTGCCTGGCATCAAAATATAACTCATTATAAGCCGCACAAGCAGAAACGGCACCCCTTTTGACCCGGGCACCACGCACCCATCGAACCACTGGCGCCCCTTTTAAAAGTCTACGCACGCCAACGCGTCGGCTAAGTTGGCTCCTGGGCATGTTGATGTCGACGTTAAAGGACTTTTACCATTGAATAATACATGTGTATGTGTCTGTATGGCTGTGTATATTTGTATGCGTATGTGTGTGTCTTTCTCTGTGTATGTGTGTGTGTGTGTGTAAAGCGCCGCCAGCAGTAAAGCAAATTAGTTCATAGCCCGGCGCATTGAGTGAGCTACTCAAAGATCCAATTCGACCCAACGACCCTGCCGCCACCCAGCCCTAGAATGCTGCTGGTTGGTAAAAACAACAAAAATTTATTTCGATTTAAATGTTTATTTGCACAAGGCGGCATTTCTCTTCTTTTTTTTTTGCGATTTTGTCTGTCCAAAAGTTATTTGTGGCCCGCAGTGTTTATTTAATCATTTTTCGTTGCCTGCTTTTAGGCGCAAGCGGAATAAAAAAAAGGCCAACGGGTCCTGCGATTTTGACTTTTCTGTATTTAATTTAATTTTAAACTGATTAAATTTAACTTTTTTATAAGCACACACACACACATACAGGCAGGCAGGCAAGCACACACCTCGCAAGTAGCAAGGACTCAGGCGCCGCCTGGGAGTGCCCACATGCTAATTAATGAATGGCTGCCAAAGCTCCTGCCAACATTCACACATTCAGAAAACCAACAAAAATAAAAAATAAAATTAAGAAATAAGGGAGGAAAAAAAAAACAAGCCCCGACTTGCATGCGGGCACTTACATGTGTGCACATGCATGTGTGTGTTGTGTGCGTGTGACGGCAAACTTTTTGTAGCTGTTTGCTTTGGCCTCACAAATTCGTGATGAGGATACCCTGTAAACAAGCGGGGCTTAAATATGTGGTAAACACGCTACAGAGCCGCGCAACAAATGCGCCATTAATCAAACACCTCCTCCAACCTTCGCTTTCATCATTCCACCTATTTTCCACCCGTATAAGTGCATTTCGTAGGTTTGGAATTGAGTTTGCAGGCGATTTGAAGCTCACTGGTCTTTAAATCGTTTTCATTTAGATCTTTAAATTCAAAAGTTTCATGCAACACGCACTTGCCAGCTTCTGGGTGGACTTTATCATTTCTCATGTGTAACTTTTAAAATCCCAACAACTTTTCACACTGTTTCATTGATCGACAAACGGCTTGTCAGTGTCTGCCTAATATATTGCATAGCATCATTATAATACGAAAACTGAAGCTGTTTGCCAATTCAACCCAAGGCATCTCTCGTGACCTAGGCAGCATTTTAACGTTCACGTGGCAAACACTTAACCATGTAATAATTAATTACTCGCAGCAATGGTATCAAAATTCACGATTCGCCTTGACACATTTCATCATGCAACTTTAATTCAAGTTCCGCGTGCGGCTTGTAAATGTCACGATTTAGAAACATGAAACCGATTGCGATTGCAAAGGCTAAACGGGGATAAGACTTTATTGGTCAGAGAAAGAACAAGAACATATATCAACTGAAGGAGGCAAAGAGAGAAAAATATATGTGACAGTCAGGTCCAATTTTATGCTACTTATTCAGAGTTTATAGACACTTGTACTGATCATATCTGAAATTAGTCGACAGAGACAGAAAAGTTGAATTGGAAAAATGGCAGAGGGGAGGGCTTATTACTCTGCCTGTCATGGCCAACTGGTTCTCTATCCATTCTTGTTAAAGTTGACGTTAAAGTTGACGGAAATGTAGTTCTATTTACTATCCCCTAATTATGTTGTTCCTTTTTTTTCTTGTCAATTTCAATGCTGTACCATATTTTCCCACTCTAAACCTCTCTCTCCTTCCCACTCTTTCTCTGTCACTTCCTTTCCGTTTCTCTCTTCCACCATCTCCCTCAGTCTTTCCCAATTGAACTTTTCTGTTGGAGCTTAATCAATATGTTTGTGTAACCATTACAACCGGACAAGGAAATGAATTGTCTGACTGACTAACTCATTGCTATTCTGATTGACTAACTCATTGAATAGCTGGTTGACTGATAAACTGGTTGATTAACTGACTGACTGATTGACCAACTCATTGAATAACTGACTGACTGATTTACTCACTGACTGAATGACTACCCACCCGACTGACTGACTGATTGACTGATTAACTCAAAAATTGGCTGACTGAGACTGACTGGCCGATTGAGTGTTCGACTGACTGTGTGTCAAATTGCCGGCTTAACTGATTGACTGATTAGCTGACTGACTGACTACCTGTCTGACTGATTGATTGACCGACTGACTGACTAACTGATTGCTATTCTGATGGACTCACTCATTGACTAGTTGGTTGATTGATTGACTAACTCATTGATTAACTGACTGACTACCCAGCCGACTGATTGGCTGACTTACTGAGTGATTGATTAACTGACTGTCTGACTGAGATTGACTGATTAGCTGACTAACGGACTGGCTGACTGACTGACTACCTATCTGACTGATTGATTGAACGACTGACTGACTAACTGTCTGACTGAGACTGACTGAGACTGACTGCCTGATTGAATTACTGATTGACTGGCTAACTAGCTGATTGATTGAATGATTCACTAACTGCTAAGTAATTGACTGACTAACTGACTAACTTAGTCTTCTTGTAACATATATATGCTGCTCTTAAAACTATAACGCTGGAGAGCTAATGTGCTTGAATGCTTGCCGGTCGTTGCGTCTCGTCCTGTAAAAGCTTCAATGGCGCCATTAGCAAATTATTTACAACATATGCACCATGTTTTTAGCCTGGGATTGGTACTGCAACTGGGACTGGGACTGGAATGAAAACAGATATTGGCACTGGTATTGGGACAGAGACAAGGACAACGACTAACTCACAGTGTCAAAAGCTAAAAGGAAAACTAAGTGAAACTGATTAAAGCTTACAACAACGCTAGTTTGGAAAATAAATAATGTATTTGATCAGTTACAAGAAACAAAAGCATTGTTAGGCTGGAAATTATGCATTGGCCTTACACATTGATAACTTTTATGTATAGATAGATACATATATATATTTTTATATATACTCTCTTGCTTAAGAAATATCGACTTAGCTCACAGTTCAGTTCAAGAATACGCCCACACACACACGCAGTGTAGATAATTGATAATGATAAAACACACAAATAACTACAGATTGACATGGAATATTAACGTAATTAATTGAATAATATAATATTAATTCTGATTTATTGCGTCAACAATCAGCTCTGAAAGCTTCCCCTCCTGTTTAGCTACCCCTCGAACCAGTGTGCAGCTGGCGTTAACATTCGAAGTACAAAGTGGGGGAAATGGGAGCGGAAACAGGAAAAAGCGCTGGAGACTTCATTGGCAGCAGCTATTTGACGAGGAGGTGCTGTTGCGGGGGTGGGGAGAGGTGTCGTTGAGTGTGTGTTTTTACTGCTCTGGTTGCTTGTTGCTTTTACACGTTTGATTTCCACTGCTAAATGCCAAACAAACTGTCATGAGGAGACAAGCTGAGTGCCCACTCGCACACTCAAACACATGCACACACAGAGGCAGCCATTTAATGGCACACACACACACACTCACGGAGAGAGGGTGTGTGTGTGTGTGTGTGAAACATAACGTGACAATGAGGCAAACCCCGACGAGCATTGAACACAAATACAAGTGAAATAATAATTTCAACATTGAATTGAATTTTGAGTACCAGAACTGACTAGATGCCAATGCGTGCAAAATGAACTGATAGACGGGCACAGGGCACAGGGCACAGGACATGGGACATGGGACATGGGACATAGGACATAGAAGGACTTAGAACACCCAAAAGGACCATCACTATATTTCCCATATTATCTATGAGTGTGTGTGTATGTGTGTGTGTTTGCATAGCAAAGAGTATGTGCCAAATGAATGCAGTTCAAGTGGCATTGCAATATGACATTGCGACTGGCAGGAAGCCTGTCTGGGTCTGGGTCTGGGTCTGGGTCTGAATCTAGGTCTGAGTCTGCGTCCGGGCTCCGTTTGAGTCTGGAACGACATTGTCTGCATTTTAGTTTTATAAGCGATTTGCCGCCGCCTTCCAGCAACTGTTTGTCAAAGCGAAACACAAACACAAATTGACATAAAAGACCCACACACACACATTCGTGGGGATAGGAGGACTACCACTGGGAACAACGGCGGCAAAAGTAATCAAATGTTCGCCACATTTCAGCATGTTTTTTTCTTGGCTGCTCCTTGCTGCAGCCTTATTGACTGAGGGCATAGCTGACTACAAGCACAACATTAAAGCATTTTTTTGCGGATCTCTATACGTTAATTTATTATATCAGTTCAGACAGATAAAATTACATTGCTTACCACGATTTCCGCACATTTTTCGACCTTTGAAAGTAAGTTTTAAGATGATCGAGAACACTATTTTCCTCTGAGATATGCGAGACCTGAGAAATATCTGTGAAAATAAGTTTAAAGCTGATCGCATTGTATGCAAAAAGCTCCGAGCAACCTTTTTTCACCTCTAAGTATGCATACACAATACAAACATCTCTAGCGCTTGTAATTTAATCCCCAGTGTCTCACCTGACTAACTAGGTAATCTTTTATCTTTTGAATATGCATTGAATGGTAAATATAGGACAAATCTAAACAGACTGAATATATGATCAAATCAAACACATTTTATGCTGAGATTCTTGTCGAACGGCATTGAAGTAGATCAAGCTAGGCGCAAAAACAACTTAATAAGACTGACATTTGAAAAGGAAATAAAAGACAACAAATAACACTAAACAGAGCACTAAAAACAGTTTGTCATTTTGTTAGAAATAATGGCCATTTATCAAAAAAGTGGCTGAGAATAAAACATTGCTTACAGCAAATCTGTTATGTCTGCGCGCCTGTGCTTTCTCTTCTCCTAAAAATAAAAAATTTTGATTCGGTTTATACGAGAACAGATGTACCCAGCAAATTTGAGGTACCTACTAGATTTATGTAACAGACAGCTATGGATACTAATCGACTGTGAGTAAAAATTAATTCAAACCTGAAAGTCTGTAGCCTTCACAGCCCTTGAGACTTAACCCTTTTCAATATATACAGGGTATGAAAATTGCTGCAGATATCGCCTTGCTTAGAAAAGCTCAGTTAACGCAAGACCCAGATGAAAATACAGTCCAGTACAGTAAGCACCAATTCAGGCAACAAGGATTGCCAATAATATGGCCACTCTGTGCAATGAACAATAAAGAATACTCCTTAGCTCTTAAAGCTCACGACCAGACTGCGAGTCGCAGTATGCAATCGAAATGCGATGGAGCGTCGTTCTTGGTCCGGGCTGGGGCTTTAGAAGGGGCGGTGCGGGTGTGCGGGTTAGGCGATTGCACTCAGAAACTTTTGCCATGTGCAACTGTTGGAAAGTATGTGCCTCAAAAATTGTACCAATACTCATATAAGCTTAACTGCCACAAAGCGAAAGGCCCCAAGGCAGCCAACAAGACTAGCAAATAATAAAAATGGACCCTAATGCTGGCATATGGCTATGGAGCACTCTCCAAAAGCGCAAACAGAGAACACATAGAGAACTTGTCGCAGTATTCGAATACTTTCAGCCCACTTATAAGGCAACTATGTGAGAGTTTCATATATGGTTTACAATTCTCAGAAACTGTTTTAACTCCAAAAATCAAATATGTCAGTCAGTCCAATTTCTTATTGTTTGCTTGCTGACAGGGCTAGAGAAATCCTTTAAATCGTTTTCGTTAGCTGACTGTTCAATTGTAGTAAGCTGTCAATACGCATATTAAAAATTTAACAAGAAGATAAATTTTCGTGTTGTTTGCTTATTAATATGTACAATTTTTATATACTCGCAGAAAACCGGATCGATTCCTGTCGCTTACGGGCTTACCAATCGAAATTAGCACTTTAGAGCACTCAAATGTTACATGGCAGAAACATATTCGTATTTTCCTGTATTTATTTGCGAAAAAAAAAACTTGCGCACGTTTGGGCTGCCAAAATGGCTTTCAAGAGTTTTTAATGCTTGCCACAATAATTCATATGGAGTTCAAGGCTGGAGTGCGCCCAACATGATTTGTGGCCCTTTCAGGGTGCCTGGGCCTGGGCGTAACAGGGGCTAGTGTGGTTTATTGGTATATACTCACAGTATGTGTCTGTCGTCAGACGATCAATGGTGTCCTGCTTCAATTTGGAGTTCTTCTTGCCCATTGTGCGGCCGTGTAGATTTCGGTTATGTGTGTGTGTGTGAGTGGCAAAGAGATACTTATGCCCGTGCGGGCGTTGGGTCAGCAACGGGCAGCCTGTTAACAGGTAATTGGAGGCGCGTGTCTTATCCCGATTTGCCACTGGTTAGATCTGAAAAAGCAAGTGGGAAAGATATTAAAGATATGTACATGTCAGCTGTGTACCAGGCACATTGTCAAGCCCAGCCGTCATCCATCATGCAGATGCCGCAGCCCATGCACCTGCCAGGGCCAGAGCAATACACACGCCAAACACGGGCGCCGTCGGCGCTGCTGATGAATAGCGAAAGCTACTTTGATATTTAAGCATGTCAGAGCCAGTTATACATATATATATCTGTGTGCGTGTGTGTGTGTGTGTGTGTGCTACCCCAACCAAAAGCATGACGACGACGCCGGCAGCAGCGTCGACTGCGTCAACATCCAGGGACATCTCACAATGCCGAGAAATGCCAAAAGGAGCTGCCGTCAGTCATTCATTCAGCCAGTCAGTCAGTCAGTTAGTCAGTTAGTCAGCTGCTGCTCTTTCGGCTAGTTTTCCCTAATTTTTGTGGCTAAACTTGCAGCGTCTTCACATACTCATTAGAATTACTTTAATTAACTTAAATCAATAATTCTTTCGATCAAAGTTGATAAATCTCTATGTTAACATATTGCATATAATTGCTGTTATGACTTACTTTCTGAGCCCTTTCTCTGCATTTCATTTATCAGTTCTCAACAACAACAAATTTTCTCTAAAGCGAGAACCATAATCTCTCCAACTATTTTGTTTATTTATTTATGCAATTTATAAAGCTTACGAAGAAAAGCAGGCCTCAATTTTGGCAGCTGGACTACTGGAAAGCTCTATTACTGATCTTTGCCGCGGCCATCAATCTTTTTTTTTTATACATTTTTAATAGATTTATTGTTATGTTTTCTTAAAGACAAAAAATAGAGCATCTTGTCGCCGCCTTGCGAATGCTCGAATTCTTGGTTTCCTGTTTGTTGCCTTTACCTTTGCGGTTGCTGCAACAAGGACAATACCGAGGCTGCTGATGGGATGGATGACGACAAGTTTGCCATAAAGTTACGTAATTAAAATTTTAATAATTACTCGTACAAGTTTTGTGCGCAAAACTTTTTTAATTCCTTTTGCAAAATTTGCGTGAGGCTTTAATTGACTTTCAATTGGCAATTGAAACTAAGTACCTAACCGAAAAGCAGTCAGAGACACACACACACACACGAATACAAGCGTAGAATTCTTTCTCTCTCTCTCTCTCTCTCTCTCTCTCTCTCTCTCTCTCTCTCTTTCTTGGTCTCCATGTACATATGTGGCATTAAAATGCAATAATCATGATTTATACACGCAACAGCCATAAAGATTCAAAGCCCAGCCATAATTAGAATCTGCAGCACAAATCATGAACATTAGAACATTTAACTGAATGACAAATTGGACAAAACTTGCAGCACGCAATCATAAAAGTGTATGCTGCCATTCTCAGTCTTTGTCTCAGAGTCTCTCTCTTTCTGTTTCTGTGTCGCTGTCTCGCTCCCTATCTCATCTGCCTCTCATCTTTTTCGCTTGAGTTCTATCCCTTGTCTCGCTGCCACTTCCATATTCCATTTGGCATTGGACACTCGCCATTTTACGAGTTGCGGACAAATTTGATGGCTGCTGAAGGCAAACCCTGAGCAACAGCAAGAAATGGCGCAGGCGGCAAGTTTTGATGAAATTCTCCAGGCACACTCCGCACCACGAACACCTCAAACTCAACAAGAATTCTCCGCGGATGTGGCCCCAAGTTGAAACTCGTTTGCAGGAGCCGCATGGCACACTCAGCAGCACATAAAAATGTTTCAATTTAATAAATTTAATTTTAGAAAAACTCAATAATTTGCATTATGTCTGTTGACATATAATAATATGTGTTGAATTTCTATTGGGGAGCGTTTTATGCTTATTTTAATTTCTTTTAAGCTACTATATATACATAACTCCAGAATATCTTGGTACGCAAATGTAATTTAAAAAAAATATATCAATTCTATCGCTCTCATGCTCAAATCTAGAAAAGCTGGCACTCTCGAAAGTTTAATTTTGCCTCAGCCAACTTTGAATGAATTTAAAATTCTTCATTAATATAAAATTAAAACGTGGTTTAACTTGAAACGTGATTCTCTTGTTGCGGAAATCAAATTTGCTAGGAGTAGCAGAGAAGTATTTTAATTTTTCCACTGGCGGGAAATGGGTGGAAAATGAATGTTGCAAATTTAAAGAAATGCATTAAAACTTCGCCGGAGCAAGGCACATAATTATTAAATAAAACTAATTAAATTTTGCATCACATTATGAATTGGAGATTTATTAAAAAAATAAGTAAAGTGCGCATCTCTAAGACAGTTCTCAAGGATCATTAGAAATGCACGCCTAATGGCCGTGCAGTCCTGTGCTACATATGTACAAACAAGTAAATAGATGTATGTGTATGGGATATGTATTTTACGCTAGTCACCCTAGAAATAGCCGCTTGCTCGGGTAGGTAAACAAAAAGTACAAATGATGCGGAACCGAGATGGCCGGGACGCAGCATATAGCACGAGCTTCTGTGAAGGCGGACTGAGACGGACATGGACATGGCATCTACAGCGTTGTCTGTGATGCAATTGCTAACGAGCTGGCCAAGCATCATCCTCATCTGGGCATCTAGTCGCATTGCTGGCGGAAGTTGTTTGTGTCCAAGGCTCAGGGCGTCTGTTCCTATGTCTGTGTCGGTGTCTGAGTCTGTGTCTGTCAGTGTAGGAAATTGAAAGGCAAGAAAATTGAACATACTTTAAGGCCTCCGGCAGCAGCACAATTGCAAATTGCAGGTGAACTCTGAACCGCCCTGCCGTCCAGCCAAGTGTAATGTGCTGCAGACATTACGCGATTTCCGGTTGACTCTAAATGTATTTTAACTTTTGCCGCTTCGTGCGTCAAAATTATATAGAATTGCCGCTGGCGTCGCCATTTAATTGAATAATTGCCAAACGACTTGTAAACAAGTTAAAGGAAGACTGGCCCAGAACTTTGTCCAACGAGTTCCTATGCCAATTTGTTTTGGCCAGGGCAGCCGCTGACGTGGTTGCTCAACAAATCGCCCGACTAGGTCTCGACACACGCACACTCCCCCACACACACGCACACACACATTTCCTTGCCCACCTGACTTTGGAGGTCTCGTTTCAAAAGTTCATCCTAACAAATAACTGAAATGCCGGCACAACAGGATGAAATCATTGCATCTGGTTAAATACTCGGAATTTGTGCCATCCACCGCTTTCGGGATGACAGCGGCTGCATCTAATCGAATCAAATGCAAACTTCTAAGGCTGAGGCTGAGGATACAAGCAAGGATACAAAATGCTACGTAACATTATCCGGCTTTCTATGTTATTCAACGAATTGGAGCACAATTGAAAACAGGTCGATAAGAGTCTTAGGTCTAGTCGATCTAAGACTGTGTGTCTATTTTCTTCAACTTTGTGAACAACGAGAACATACCCTGCATTGTGCTCTACTTGATTGGCTTAAAATTACATTCGATGAGCATACCCTGCAAGTATGTTGAATAGATTGTGGAATATTTGTAATCAACCTATTTAAACACCTTATTAGCTGCATAGTTAAACGGATACGTACGAATGGCAAGAATTTAAATTGGAATAAACAGTTTCTTCTTTTTCAATGCGGCTTTAGTTTAAATGGAATTTCTAAGCAGACAATTTTTCGCGTGTCACATAATTTCCCTTTCCATAAGCTAATTGTCATTGCCAGACACCGACTGCCCTTTTGAGCACAATTTTTTCAGATGTCTAAAAAAGACTTGGCCAAAAGAGTTTTGCCATGGGGCTTAGCCAACTGTGGGCATGCGATAGGCAAAGACCGTACACAGCTGCCATTTTGTGCAATTTTCAGCTGTGATTGCACTTTTCAGTTTCTTATGAAGTTTTTCAATTTCATTTGCGAAATATTTGCTTCACAACGCAAATTGCAAATTCCGGACTCGTTCGGACTTTGTTAGTCATTCACTGTGTGTGTGTGTCTGTTTGTGTGTGTGTGTGTGTGTGTGTGTGTGGGGGAGCTGTGATTGATTGATGTTATGCATGCTGTAAATCTTTTATTATTATGTGGCTGCAAAACTCTATGACCGAGTGTACTGCACATTTTATTATTAGTACTGAGAATAAAGTCCAGCTAATGGTCTTTTCTATGTGACAGCAAAAACTTTGCTACGTTGTGTTGAAAGTCAAACATTCCAAGTAAATTCGCAGGCACACACACAGAGACATACGCATAACCACACGAGTTTATCTAGAGATAAACCCAAAAACCGTTTACTAGAACACAAAGCGCCGCCTCAAACACCAGGCCCCAAATGTTTCAGCACATGTGTTTGGCTATTAACTTGCGCTGTAAATTATGCAAAATCCCAAACAACAGCAACTGGGATGAAAAACAACAGCGACTGCAACAATGGCTAGATACAAGTTTTCCCCATACATGTGTATCCATATAAATATGCTTGTTGGCCAGCGGGGCAACAGCGGAAGCGGAGGCGGAGGCGGAGCCAGCACACACAGAAAACAGGAAGAGACGGCGCGAGTGAGCGCAGCATTGGAGCCGACACACGTGAGCCCCGAAACATTTACATAACCTCTTTCATTCTGATTTGATTATATTCATTCAATTTCGTAAGCGCGACCAGCGCAACAACAACAACAACAACAAGAACAACAAAGACGACGACAAAGCGCAACAGAAGTAAAAGCAAATCGTGAAGAGTAAAAGGTCGAAAGGCAGCATCTCCCATTTTTCCGGACACCTTTGCCAACTAACTAAAAAAAAAAAAATTGAATATTTTATCAGACAAAGTTTTGTGTGTGTGTTAACGTGTGTGTGTGTGTGTGTGTCTGTGTGTGTGTGTGTGAGTGTTACCCTTTATGGCCTGCTTGGCCAGTCCATTAGGTTGTCTCTTTACTCTACTTAAGCAGCATTTGGCCAAATCTATCTCTGTCTCACTCGCTCTCTCTTCTTCCCACTCTCTCTCTCTCTTTCTCGCACACACACGCTGTCACCCACTA